TATAGTACTGACCTCAGCAGTCTCCTTTTCGCTGTCTAGTTAAAATTTGCATGGCCCAAGCCCTGGCAGTGCATTGGCCTCCTAAGTTGTCTCCTTGATTTCACATGCTTCCCTGCAGTCAGTTCTGCACAATGCTATCACGTGACCAACTTCAGAAGCAAATGCTAAGAAAGCTGCAGTGCCCCTGCCTCTCCATCTTCCCTCCAGTCCCCACCGCCAGCCATTAAGGTCTGAAGTTTTTAACCTGGAAGTTATGCCATCTTTAACGATTGATGCCTACTGCAAACTGTCCTCCTCTCCAGCCTCATTTTCTTTTTCTTCCCCAAGATACCTGTGCACCTACTAAGCAATGCAAGTCACAGAACAAAATATTTTAATGTGATGCGATACCGTGTATTCTCTAGTATGTAATTTTTGTGGAAAACGTTTGGTAGTGATTTCTGTAGTAAGATGTCAGGCGTTCCTAGCATCTCCCTGTACATTTGTGCTTTGCCATTACATACAGTTACCATTCTATGTAAGCAAGTAATACCTGTGTAACACAACTCCATATATGAATCCATTGTCCAGATTTTTATTAAGATGATCTGTGTCTTCTAACATAGGTAATATAGTAGTCAAGTTTTTTTTTTTAATTAAAACTCATGAATTTTATCAAATGTAAAAAGCAGCCAGTCATTCTTTTTAGTGCCAAATGGCCTCTTGAAAAATGCACTCGTGCTGACTTCCTTCTTGTCTCGCTGGGAGTGCAGAGATGAGAACTTGCTTTGACTGGTAGGTGTTTCTGTGGCTTTGGAAACCTCTCACGTTAGAGTGTTTTGTGAGGAGTGTGGGACCCACCTTCTTTCCCAGGCCTTTCCTTAAAGAATGGAGGAGGCCCAATGGAGCTGAGCGATTCCAGTGCGAACCTGTGCAGGCCCTGGGAGCTTTCTCCTAGAGAATGAGTCATTTGTAAGTGTCAGAACAAAGGAGGACCATTTAGAAGTTCATTCTTTAGCTTTAATTTCTAGTCCCAGGAAACACATCATTATGGTATCATAAAGAATTTTCCATCATAGCCATAGAAAAACATCAATTTTAGGTGCTGGTTTCTTCAATTTGTTTCTTTTTCTTAGTAAAATTAAAAGAATTAAAGAATACATAAAGCTTACAGATGTATAGGAATAAAAATAATTATAGAATCTACTTACATTAAGTATTTATCCATTTTATGCTTTCTTGGTTTCTTTGTCTCAAGCATCTTTTAAAAAGGGGGTAGGGGAGGTCAGAGGAATGATAACTGGGGAGTACACTTGCTCTGGTGCCAGGCAGTGTGTTGGAATCAGGGTACAGGTCTGTAGTAACTCCAGGGCACACTGAGGAATGTATGTGAACCTCAATCCTTTGGGAACAATGCTGTGAAACATTCCTTTCTGAAAAATAAGTTGATTTTTCTAAACTTGTTGAGTCTTGATTGCATGTGGCTGCGGCCCAGGAGTTTTCATGTGTAGCTTGCCCAACCTTGTTCATTGGTTTCGATGATATGACTCATCAGAAGGATTTTGCTTAAAGGGCAGCAATTTGATGAATTTATATTCTAAAAACCTGTTTTTCTGTACCTCCAAAATCAAGTAAAACTTGTGGCTAGCTGTCAATTTAAAAATCAAATGGACATTTGAATATCTGTTACTTGCTAATCATCATAAGGAATGTAAAGAAAAATGTCTCCTTTTATTTAGCTGTAGTCTCTTAACAAAGGACAAATAAATTAGGTTAAGTGTTTAATGCTTCAATGTAGACGATGAGATTACCAAAATTTATTTACTCTTGCCCTTGCCTTTAAAGGAAATTTTAATAGTTTTATTACTATCACCATTATAATTCTACATTTATAATTATAAATGCCTGATTGAGGCATAATTGAAAAAGTTGTAAGATAATGTAAAGTGTACATTGTGGTGATTGTATGTATGTATACATTATGGAAGGGTTCCCACCATCAAATTAATTAACACATCCACCTCATATATTTATCTTGTGTGTGTGTGTGTGTGTGTGTGTGTGTGTGAACATTGAAGTTCTGCTCACTTCGCAGTTTTTTAAAACTTATCTTTATTGTGGAAAGTATTGCAGATGTCTCCTCCTTTTCCCCCCACTGACCCTCTCTACCCCACACTCACCCCTCCCAGGCCTTCACCGCACAATTGTCTGTGTACATGGACTGTGCATATATGTATATAAGTTCCCCGGTTAATCTCTCCCCCATCCAACCTTCCTTCTGAGATTTGACAGTTCTCTGCTTCTATGTCTCTGAATCTATTTTGTTCATCGTTTATTTTGTTCATTAGATTCCACATATGAGTGAGATCATTTGATACTTTTCTCTCTCTTACTGGGTTATCTTGCTTAGCATAATACTCTCCAGGTCCCTCCATGCTGTCTTAAAAGGTAAGAGATCCTTCTTTTTTTTGCAGCTGCATAGTATTCCATGGTGTCTGTGTACCACAGCTTTTTTGGTATACTCATCTACTGATGTGCACTTGGGCTGTTTCCAGCTCTTACCTATAGCAAATTTCAATGATCAACCTTAGGTGTTATCAGCCTTAGTCACCATGTTTTACATTAGCACCTCAGACATTACTCAATCGATAACTGAGAGTTTGTCCCCTTTACCTACCTCTCCCTACCTAACTCTTGGACTGAAAAAAAAAATTAATTAATTCAACAAACATATATTAAGTCTCACTCTATGCTATCCACTTTGCTGGGCCCTGAGGGACAGAATGGAGTAAGATGCTCTTCCCATTCTCAGGGAGACTAGTCCAGAGACCTAGTAAATAGATGCTGTGATAGAAGCAACATAAAGGGAGGTGTGGCCCACTGCACACACACAGAGGTCCCGATTCTTCCCAGTGCTTCCCATACTTCATGTGTATTTGAATCGCCTGGGGATCTCGTTAAAATGGAGATGGTGATTCACAGACCTGGGGTGGGGCTGCCAAGGATTTAAAAGCATCGTGTCTTGGCTTTGTATTCACCAGACAAGATAGAGGACTAGATGTAAAGGAGGTCATTTCCTTCACAAAGATGGTCATAAGCAGAAGAATAGAGTAGAGTGGCCCAGGGAGGTATAAATGAGGGTGGAGGCACGGCAAAGCATAAGGGGGAAGAAGTTGGTAGGAATCAACCTGATTCAGCCTCTGAAATGAAATATTCATTGAGAGGATTGAAAATAATATCCCGTAGCTAATGGAGAAATGGAGCTTTTTAAACTGGGTCATGACCATAGTTCTCATGTTCAGGAGGTCCATGGGATGGGGTTGGGAAGGATAGGAGGACAGGACGTATGGTGCCTAATACAGTTGTTTAGGCAAAATATCGGGTTAGTAAGGATTGTAGGACTTGGATGGAGAGGAAGAAGACTGTTTTGAAAAGAAAGGATGTTCCTAGTGAATTAGAATAGTAAAATCCTGGTGTCGGAGAGAAGAGTAGGTTGGTTACCTGTACAAAGAACAGTGCAGGGGTGAGGCTAGAGGCAGGGAGAACTTTAATTTGGGCGACTTCAAACGCCAGACCTAAGGAGAGTCAGCTCCTTTTCCTCCATTAAGATGAGATTTTGGCAGGTGAAAGCACAGGGACAAAGCAGTGAGCGTTACTTTTCAGACGAAGTTCTTTTCTCTCTGTTGGCACCATCAGTAATATGTGACTATCATTTTCCTCTAAGGCAGTGGTTCTCAACCTGCGGGTCGCGACCCCTTTAGCGGTCGAACGACCCTTTCACAGGGGTCGCCTAAGATCATCCTGCATATCAGATATTTACATTACGATTCATAACAGTAGCAACATTACAGTTATGAAGTAGCAATGAAAATAATTTTATGGTTGGGTCACAACATGAGGAACTGTATTTAAAGGGCCAGAAGGTTGAGAATCACTGGTCTAAGGTCTTTTCATTTTCTTGGCATTCTTCAGGATGTGATGCTTTTAGCATTGAGAGACTTGGTGCTAGATTATATGGTAATCTGGGGGGGGGGAGGGGAGATGATTCCAATGTTTTGAGGCTGGGGAAAAAAGGAGAACTAGACTTAAATGAACATAAGTAGGTAGGAGGCTATCTGTCCAAATGGCATCATTGAGCAAGGAATTGGAAATGGGAGAGGCATTGGGGTTCAGGAGGAGGCTAGGGCTGCAAGTGCGAATTTGGGGTTCATTCGTATAGGGCAGGGTTAGAGTAAAGTGAATAAAATAGACTCTGCAAGAGAGAAGGGTAGGAAGAAAGTCGTTAGCGAAAGCTTGAACTTGGGAAATGCCCACATTCAGACAGCCAGTGTGAGACAGTGTGATTTCAAAGATGCCAGAGGATGTGAGGCATATATATTTTGTTGATAAATGGAAACAATTTGCTGCAAGAAACAGAAGTTTGAGTGGAGATCATTTAAGTTGGCAAATCAGGAGTAAAGGTGAAAAGAGGAAAAAAGAATACTGCTGGTAATATAGCACCACCTGGTGTTAGACATTAGGTATTTTTTAAGTGAAGTTTTTTTTCTTCATCAGATGGATTTATTTTCCCTTTTCTGTTTGGTTGTTCTAAATTTTTCATCTTTTTTTTTTTTTTAAATATGGAAGCCTCGTGCGTTGATGGGCTCATTTGTTTACTTTTCAGTCAACAGCATGGGGGGAGCCATAGCAATTTGTTTTTTCTTTGATTTTAACTTTGCCAAAAGCTTCTATCTCACATGGCTCTTTCTGATCTACCACTGTGTCACAGAACACATGAGTTAATTACGTGAGGTTCCCTGGTTACAGCCAGCCTGCTTGCCTCACCATCATCTCTGCTCGTCTGCTTCTAATAAATCAGCAATACGTAAGTCTAGGTGAAGACTTCACCTAAAGTTACATGATTAGGAATATTCATTTTACGTTGTCAGTGCGTTGTTAGTGCAGGAGGCTGCATTTATAAGCTTAAAACTTTCAAAATGAATAGCGGTAGAAACTTTTTTCTTTTTTTCTTACCCCTCAAGGAAAACCTACATCTTTGAAAACTGCACAGCCGTCTTGGGTGAATTTGCCTCGACCGCTTCCTAAGTCCAACGCATCCTTGAAAAGCTCTGCGCTCCGGCGGACAGGCAGCCCCTCCTCCATCGCCAGCACCCACAGTGACCTGAACGCTTACAGCAGCAATTGTGAGTCGGGCATATGTCTGTCATCCTTTGGGGGTTGTTGAAACGGTCGTTATATGAAAAACCAGTGCCCTGCAAATCATCATTAGACTTTTTGGCTCTGTGATTTATGAGAACATATGCTTGCTGCTTCTTCCTTTCCCAATTTTTTCCCCTTTTTTTGCTCTGAAAGTTTGGCAGGAAAAATATTCTTTTAACAACATTCTCTTTTGATGAATGTGCTATGAAACATTGAAATATCGGTGTTAATGAGACCTGGTATTTTTTATAATAGGGATTCTAAAGTGTGTCATTTGAAGTGATAGTGTTTTTTGGTTTAAGGAAAGAAAGCAATCTAGGGGGCCATTGGAACCCAACTGGGAACCAGGAAAAAAAAAACTTCAGCTCCATTTATTTTGTAAAAGACCACATTTTGTGGATGTGTGCTTTAGAATCTTTGGATGCTAGATTCAGTGTAATATGACTAGTATATTAGAATTTCAAGCCTACTTTTATGTAATTTAAATTCAGGAGGATATTTTTAATGTTTCTAATGTGAATTCTGTTTTCTGTGTATAAAAAGGGTGAATTAATTGAGTGCTCCCTTTCATTCAAAAGGTGTGTTTGGTCTTGGTACTTCTTTGCTCATTTAAATTTTCTCACAAATTTAGTTAATTTGAACAATTTAGGAGTGCCTGGCTGTGTGCAGGCATCATGACAGATGCAATGAGAGGTACGGGTTATAAAAGAATGGCGCTTCTCTAAAAGGAGATGAGAAGAAAGAAGATATGTACATGGATAACTAGAATAGCAGATGAAACAAGATGTTCGGGTGTGGGGGGAGGGAGGGGAGTTCTTTAAGGAGGGATCAATTTCTTCTTTCTGGTGAGGGGCCAGGGACAAAGCAGAGTCATGGGTAGCGGAGCATATTACAGGGTTACCATACACTATTTCATATTTTTCTCTCAAATAATTTCTATTGTAATTGATTATATGTATATAAGGTAATTCAGGCTTGGAGAGGTTGTCGCCGGGCCAGGGGCACTCAGCCAGCGTGTGAACAGAATTGAGGACGCGCTTGCGGAGGATGTGGCATTGAATTAATGAGCGCATTTCCGAGAGCTCACTTAGCAGCAGGAGCTCGTCTGGTGTTAGGAAGGAGCGGGATACCAGAACTCTAGGAACGCCGGAACATGTTACTTACAATGGAACGGGATTCCTCTCTGCTTATTGTCTGGACTTGACGTTGTAGCATGAAATCAGAGGGGCTCGCAGGGAGCAGAGAATTAGGCGTTTGGAAAGGTGATTCGCACGTGTGTTATGTCAAGGCCATTGCACTTGCCACTTCCTCTGTGTGCAACGCGAATGTTAACCATCAGCAGCATCAGCAGCGTGCTCTCGGGGGACCCGCGACGCCGGAATCTGTGACACTGGAGGCAGACGCTCTGTAGTGTCACCACCCAGCCTTTCCCACTGACAGCCATGTTGACATGGCCACCGGTTCCGTGGCGAGGCTGACACTCCTGAGGAGGGTGTACAATGCTTTTGTCCTCTCCTTTTTGTCTTGTAACAAAGGGCTTTTCCCTCCACCCACCGAGCCTGCCGAGCAAGCGGCGATGTGTCCCTGCTGCAGAGTAAGCGTCCAGATCAGTGAGTCTCTTTCTCAGTGGGATTTGCTGGCTGGTCTGATCTGTTCTGTGCAGTGCCCTGGAGCTTACAGATACCGCCCCCCAATTCCAGTTCACTGAGAGCAAGCGTGAAGGATATGGGAGCGAACATGGCTGCAGCTTTTCCTGCCTGAGCTTGCTCTGACCCATTTAAATGACTGTACCAGGAGGATTTCGCAGTTGCACAGAAACGGATGTCTCTTCCAACATCTTTATCAACTCGACACTCACCCCGCCGGCCGGCTCAGAGAGGCACTACGATGCTACTCTACTGACACTGCTGGTCCTGGGATCCTACAGCCTTTGTGTGGCTCCTTTGTTAGCCTCGCTCACTGGGAACAGAAGTACGTCGGTGATTTCTGGTTTGATTCTTCTCTTTGTAAGCATGCTCTCAGTTCTATTCAGTACATCGATCTAGCACCTTTTGCTATTTTTGTAACTTGGAATGTATCTTAGTTGCAGTGTTTCTCGGACATATTTTAAGTTGTCATTGATTCCGTCCAGAACCAATTTTATTGTATATTGTGTGTGTTTCCGAACTCCACATAAATCAGCAGCACCGTCGATGTTCTTGGCACATGGAATTACTTCATTTTCAAAGGTTATCTGATGGTCTCCTTTCCAGTTAAATAGCTAGCGGATTTTGTGTGTGTAGCTGATAGTTGTACGAGTATAAAAATGTTTTTGTACAATTAAAGTGAAAACACATCTTTATGTTACTCATTATATTAAAAATATTAAAGCTGTGTACTTTTTGAAGATTACCTTAAGACAGAAATCATTTTGAGCTGAGTTTTTCCTATTCTGATGGTGATGGGTCATGTTAGGAAGTCATCTACTGGCCAGTGTTCGGTTCATATTGGGTGGAGCATTGGAACCCCTTTAAAGAACACTTCCTTGGCTTTGTCTGCTCATTTCTTTGTGAGGTGACAATGTCAGTGGCATCATTTAAGAACTCCTGAGACCACAGTGCTGTTGTAAAATTAGCCCCTGGTTCTGGCTACGTTGAGATCCTATGGAAATAGCATTGCCAAGTTTTAAAGTGACTGAGTCAAGATATCTAAGATAGTAAAGCTCTGTTACTTGAGGGTTTTAGCAGGGTTTTTTTAAAATGTTCTTTTAAGCATAGAAAAAAATTAAAGTTATGATATACATTTTTCTTTTGGATATTAGCATAAAACATTGCATGGTAGCTTCTAGGTCAGATGTGCTCATTTATAGAGATTAAACACCTTAAGCTCTTCCAGAACCAGATAGCTGAAGTTCAGTTTTTTTTAAAAAAATATTTTTTTGTTGATTTCAGAGAGGAAGGGAGAGGTAGAGAGAGATAGAAACATCAATGATGACAGAGAATCATTGATTGGCTGCCTCCTGCATGTCCCCTACTGGAGATCGAGCCCACAATCCAGGCATGTGCCCTGGTTCATAGGTAGACACTCAACCACTGAGCCACGCCGGCCGGGCTAACGTCCAGTTTTTGAGATCACTGAATAAAAATAAACGATCTCTGCAGGTCTTGACAGAGGGAAGGTTTGGGGACCACGGTGCCAAAGCAGAAGGGAGACTTTAGAGGGTCTAATTTCACCACATTAGCCAATATGAAGTCCTCTCTCCTTCCATTTTGGCCACAAAAAACATGTTTATTTTTGAGAGACAGATGGTGAGAGGAAACATAAGAGACGCACACCAAAGTTATTTTCACTCTCTTGGAAAGAGGAGAACAGGAGGAGGCTGACTAAAGAAATAGAACCTTTTCCTTCACCTGCATGGCCAGCCCCGGCCCAGGCGGTGTGATGCGTAGAAAAGGTTAATTCAACTCAGGCTCTTCTTAGTTCTTCTGTGAACTGATGTGATGCTGGACAGTCTTTCACTCTCTGCCTCAGTGTTCTCACCTGGTGAGTGGGAGGGGAGGGCCAGGCACCTGTATTTTCTTCATTACAATATGTCCCTCAGTCTCTGTGCCCTCGCAGTCTGGGAGCCCTCAGGGGATGTCTGACTGATAGTGTCTAATCTTTTGGAAGGAGGTGCTTGCAGTTGCTGAAGCGAGGAAGCTGGCAGAGAGGAGGAGGGGTCTGGTTTACCCTCAGTCTCTTCCTCATTGCAGGGTGACAAGTGGGAGGTGGCTCACGGCCAGCCCTGGTCAGTTGGAAAGAATCAGCTGAAGAACAGTGTTGACAGTTTTTCAGGCTGCTTCCAGGTTCAGAGAACAAGTCTGTGTTTGACTAGTGATGTCTGCCAAGGGGCAGGAAGGGCTGACAGACAGGCTGAATGTGTGTGTGTGTGTGTGTGTGTGTGTGTGTGTGTGTATTTATTCTGGTCCTATATTACAAATATGCTTAATACTTAATGTGACTTTTAAATAAGAAAATACTATTATCCAGACTATTATCCAGACTGCTGTTAATTTTGTTTTTCGTTCTTTTAATGATTTTCCAGGGTATATATGAGACATTCTTGCTGTCACAGAGTTTTGGAATCTGAAAGCTTAGACTTCAGTAGTGATTTGATTTCGAGCCAGGTGAGCAGATGATCTGGCGCAGTGGGGCGTGTTAAGCGGATTCCCCCCCAAAATTCAAGAAATGAACAGAATGTTGGCTCTGTGTGTTTACACATACTTTAATAAGCAAAACCCATACTAATGTTGGCTAGATGCTAAACGGAGCATGAAATGTAGTTCGCAGATAGAAGTCTGGAGCAGTGAGCAGCCCCCGTCTCGCACAGGAAAGCCATCGCTTCTGCCTGGGCTGCTCCGAGAATCTCTCTTCATTGTCTCCTTAGCTCTGCCATCTCTCTCCCTCTCTCCTTGCCCCTCTCCCTCCTTCCCTCCCTCCATCCCTCTCTCCCTTTTCACTTGAACTACATTTTGACCTTGAGGAAATGAATACTAAGGATTTCAGAGAATCTGTTATCCTGGCATAATTGATACAGCTAAGACCAAGGATGGAAACAGGACAGGGGCAATTTTAAGCTGCACGCTAGAGCTGGCTAAGTCCTAGGGGAGCACAAGTGGACTTTCACGTAGGGATTCTACAGACCAGCTGTCATTGCATGGTCATAGCCTGGGCCCCTGGAGCACCGTGTTTAGGAGAATTCTGAGGAGGGGTTTGGTCTCAGTGGGACTGAGCACCATGATCAGTTAGTGGGGGCCCATGACAGCTTAAGGACTGTTTCCACACCTGATATTCAGTCCCACTCATTAGACATAGAGAGGTGGAATGATTCAGGGCAGCCAGGTAGTGGCCAAGTCAGGACCGGAACTCGCTTCTTATAGACTAGAGGCCTGGTGCATAAGATTTGTGCACTCGGGGGGAGGGGGGCCCTCAGTCCCTGTGCTCTCCTGCATTCTAGGTGCCCTCTCACAGTCTGGGAGCCCTTAGGGGCTGTCTGAATACCAGCTTAGGCCCGCTCCCCGCGGCAGTCAGACATCCTTAGTGCTGCCTTGGAGGTGGGAGAGGCTCCCGCCACCACCGCCGCTGCGCTTGCCAGCCATGAGCCTGGCTTCTGACCCCTGTGGGAGAGCACTGACCACCAGGGGGAAGCTCCTGCATTGAGCGTCTGCCCCCTGGTGGTTAGTGCACGTCATAGAAACCGGTCGTTCCGCCGTTCAGTTGATTTGCATATTAGCCTTTTATTATATGGGATTCCACCATTCATTGAAACCATTATGCTTCTCGTATTACACTGGAACTTTTGGTGCTGAAGGATGTATGATTTGGATATAATAACACTGGACAAGAGACAATTTAGATGTCACCCGGATACCAACTAGCTGCGTGGTAGGACTACCAAAGGGCAGGAGAAATACTTACATGGCACCATGCCTCATAGTGAAGTGCCTCCTTCAAGTTGAAGTTTATTAACAATGGGCCAGCTTAAAGGAGAGTGTGGAGAGAATTGAGGGTCAGATGTGTCAGTGTTGGCCATAAAAGTATGTGCAGCTCAGCACAGTTTGTCCCCCATTAGTAAAGTGGGGAAGAGGGAAGGTGGGAAGCACGTACAATAGAAGATCTTAGAGTGTGTGTGTTTGTGTGTATCTATATATGTATGTATGTTACAGATAAGTGTAAACATGTGTGTGTTTGTATCTGGATCAGAAATGTTGTCCTTGAAATGTGGATTTTGACTCTCACGTGTTAACAAAGTTGCTGATAGATCTGGGCTTTATCCAGTGATCAGTATAACAATGCTGAACCTGAAGAGTGGCAGTGAGCTTGTTTTCAGGGGAACAACTCCTGTTCTGTGTGACAGAGAGCCAAGCGACACGGGATTGTTCCTCAGGAGAACTGTGTCTTGTGCTGTAGTGAGAAATCCTTTTATTGAGTTCTTTGGAAACTAAAGGTCTTTGTGCTTAAAGCTCAGTAATGCAAAGTGTGAATTTAGGACCATATGAATGTATATTCAGTATGTAAACTCAGTTCAACATTTCAAAAGCTGAATAGGTGATTTATTTGCTGCTGAATATATGTGAGAAATGTTTCAAGAGAAGTAAGACTAGGTGGGCACACAGAGCAATGTACAGATTGTATCATAGAAATCTTCACCTGAAACTTATATGATCTTATTAACCAATGTCACCCAAATAACTTTAATTAAAAAAAGAAAGACTAAAATCCAGATTGTTGTAATACATGTTTAAGACTCTAATAACATCATTTATTTCCTTTCTTGGATTTTGATTTAGCAAAGGCTGAAGTGCTCATTGAAACCCAATTCCCATTTTGTATGGAAATCTATAAGATATGCTCTGTGAAACTTTGGCTGTGTTGTTTTACATTTATGAACTTATTCCCCATCCATCCTTTAAGAAGTTGTATTGAATTTTATAGTAGTAGCCTCTTCAGTATTATCACTTACATGAGCTCCCTGTCAACTTTGGAAAAACCAGGTCTCTAGGTTTGGGGGAAGGAGAGAATTGGAAAGAAGGACAGGAAATGGACAGAAACCTGACAGTAGATGGGAAGGCTCTGTGTTGATTTGACCCAACACTGCCAATGTTTTCTGGGCACAGGAAGAATGAACAGATGGCTCACTGTAGAGGGACTTGACATAGATCAGGGGAGAAAATAGCATGTTTCTACAGGATTCCAAGGTGACATCTGTCAGCACTGCGGAAGAGTCGGGATGGGTTAGCCTAGTGAACAACTTCTGGCTGTTTCAAATTTATAAGATATCAGTAAACAAGGCACACATCTAACCTTTTTCTAGAAATGTGAGGTGGAAAGATCAACATTGGTAAAGACATTTGTGATGGTAAGTGTTGAATATCAGCATAGAATTGGATGCTTAGAATTGGGTATCAAAGATTATTTAGAAACAGTAAAAAAAATAAAAAAATAAAAAAAAATCCCATGTGGGTTGATGGCGGGGAAATTAAGCTTGGAAACCAGGTGGTGAGTGACTGAATCTCCAGACTTTCCCTCTGGCTCAGTGAGTACGTGGTGGTAAACATGCCAGTGGTTTGAATGGTTAACAAGGGAGATGGATTAAAAGGTTAACGTTTATGGGAAGAGAGAACCATAAAACTTTCCAAGTATTTTTGCATGGGTTTTTTTTTCCTTGGGTAGGGAGAGAAAAGGACTATGTGCTGTTTACCCTCTCGAATGATAATGTCTCAGGAAGAGCAAAGCGTTACTGCCAAAATTCCTCGTGGGAGCTAAGTTTTTGGACAGTGCACTTTTTCAAAGGTTATTCAGTTATGGAGACT